GGAGGAGAAAACGGAAGGAGGGAGGGAGGAGGAGGTATGAGGATGAGGATGAGATGAGGATGAGGAGGAAGGAGGAGGAGGAGGAGGAGGAGGAGAGAAGGAGGAGGAGGGAGGCAGGAGGAGGAGAGGAGGAGGAGGGGGATGACCTCTGGGAGGGAAGGTGCTATCGGAAGGCGCGGGCCCTGGATCACAGATTGCGGCCCGCAGCCTCTCCTGAGAACCAGCGGTGCTGCGCGGTGCTTTGAACATCCCACCCTTCCCCCCCTCTGCGCCGTGGGTGAACCTTTCCAGGAGGAGAGTAGGAGGAGGAGGAGGAGGAGGAGGAGGAGGAGGAGGAGGAAGAGGAGGAGGAAACCACTGGCCGAGGAGGGGCTGGGCCGTCGTCGCCTCGTCGGTCGCCCCAGTCGGCCTGGGCTCGCGCGCAGCGCGCCATAGGCGCCGCAGCCGCGGCGGCAGGAGCCGCCATCCCCATCCCCACCACGCCCAGGTCAAAAGAGGCATCCTGGCACCGCCGCGCCAGGTCTCTGCGCGGCCAGGACAGGCTGCTCATCAGGCTGGCGGCCGCCGCCAACAGGCTGGAGCAGCACCACAGCGCGCAGCAGCTCCAGCGCCACCAGCAGCACAACATGACGCAGACCTGGAAGCAGCAGCGGCGCGGCGCCTCGAGGGAAAGGTGGTCAGGAGCAGGGACCACACACCTCGAGGCGCCGCAGCGCGGTGCTGGGAAAAGGTGGACAGGAGCAGGGTCCACAACCCAGGCGCCCGCGCGGGGCCCAGGGGAAAGGTGGTCAGGATCAGGGACCACACACCCTAGGCCCGCAGTGGGCGCGCAGCCATGGCCTTGGAGAAGCTCAAAGTACCCCAGCAAGCGGTCCTGGAGCCGTCCCGCCTCGAGGACGCAGGACGCCGTCCACATCCAGGACTACATTCTCAGCAAGAGGCAGCAGGCCATCGCCGACGCAGTGCTGGAGCTTCCCTTCACCATTTCTCGCGACCATGAGTCCATCGGCCTCCCGCCAGAGGATCCAGATATGAGGAAGTTTTGGACGAGAAACCTCCAGCAGAGGCTTGGTCGAGTTGCAGATCAGATCAGCGGCGCTCAGTCCGCCAAGGTTGACGCCAGCAACTAGCTCACAGAAGCCGCGGTCATCAAATGCATGCTCGCGATGGCCACTGATCCACGAGTACGGCTACAACAATATCGGTCTCGAATTGAGGTGCTGGCAAAGGAGCAGAAATATATCCACGAGAGGAAAGAAGCCCTGCAGACAAAAGCGGGCGCCAACGCCCAGCGAATCTCCGACCTGCGCCGCCTCATCACAGACGTCAAGCTGGAGATCGCAGCCGAAGCCGACACCGATTGCGAGGCCGACTCCGGGGGCGACAGGAAGAAGTAGAGAAACAAAAGGGCCAGCACCCCATTTCGCCGTCGCGCCAGCCGAGGGCCTCCATCCTCATGCTCGAGCAGGCCGGCCCCCCCATCAAGCACCATCGCAGAACGGCTCAGGAGGAAAGACGAGGAAGCACGACGAGAAGGAAAGAACCTAGCCATCATCGCCAACGCCGAGCTCCGAAAGAAGTCAGAAGAAGATGAGGAGGAGGTGGAGGCCATGCGGCAGTGGTTTGCCGAACTGAAGATGCAGAACAGAGACAGGCTCGTGCATCACGAGCAGGAGCTATCCAAGACGGCCATGAACGCTACCGAACAAGCACTCCGCCGACAAGAAGCTCAGCAAGAGCGTGCATCCCAACATCGAGAAGAGCTTTTCCTCCAGTTCTACGCTGAGAAGATGCAGCGGGAAGCGCAGAGGATCGAGAACCACGAGCGCGCGCTGCGACACGACCTCGAGCGTCGGAAGCTTACCTACGAGCAGCAGCGCGGGGAGGCTTACCACATGCTGGACGCCATTCGAGCGGAGACTGCCTCCAGGGCGCGCACTGCACCAACCTCTGAGGTCGCAGCCCGCCAGCAGGAAATGAGCGAGCAACTTCATCGCGAGCGCGGACGACTGCAGCGTGAGGGCCAGAGGATCGAGCAGATGAACCAGGACCTCCGCCTCGAGGAGCAGGCCGTGCAAGTCACGGCAGCCCAGGAGATGCAAATAAATAACGACATAGTTGAGCATATCGCCGAAGCCCAAGCAGACCTCAAGCGAGAGGAGATCAAACAGGAGCACGTGATCCAGCAGCAGACCGCCATCGCAGCCAACGAGCTCCTGGAGGAACATTACAGTCCAGTAGGAGGCACAAAGACAATCACAGGATAAACATCATCGTGAACAGCTGGCCCGACAAGAGGAAGAGCATCGAGTGCACCAAGCACTTCTCGAGAAGACCCTGAGGGAGCAGCTCGACAGCATCGCGCCCAGGATCGATACTGACATGCTCGACGGCGTCGCCAGTGCGCTCACCGCGAAACACGAGGGGCAGAAGATGCAAGCCCAATCCGACGACGAGGAGGTCTACCAGCGGGACAACATACGCTCCGCCCTCCACGCCATCGCCCCGTCACGCGAGTTCGACTACGACGTGACCCGCGAACCGTACTACGCCGAGCTAATCCAGATGGAGGCCCCGAACGCTGCAGGGCATCGCGGCGCCCCCTCATCTTCAGGATCTTCGAATGGCTTAACGCAGCCTTTCTACTGCAGCCTCTGCAAGTCGCGCGGCAACTACACCAGCGCCAAGACGGAGATCATCAAGTGCAGGCACTGCGGGAGCGAGAACATCGAGGATCGCTCCGTCGACCTCGGCGACAACTGCACGCGCCAGCGACTCCAAAGCCCCGCCAGGCCACCGACCTGCACAACAACCTTCAGACACAAGCACCAGCACACCGCCCATCACCACCCCCACCACCAGGGACGACACCGCAACCACTCGGCCCCCTCATCGAATTCGCACCCCCATCGGGAGTTGCTCCGACGCCAGTTGCGGGAGACGGAGCGCCCCAGAAGAACCCGAAGACTCACGAAGGATTCTTGGCCGAGACATCCACACCACATCCCATGCGACACGCCGAGGCCCAGAGCTTCGACGACCCCAACGACCACGACCTAGGCGACTCAACAAACACTCCGGCAGTCCGAGCATCGCCGACTCCCCCCGACGAGCAACCGACACCAATCACCTCCTGGGGAGCAGGCCCCTTCCTGCCCCCCCCCCCGACACCCATGGCCGCCCCCCTACAGAGGGCACAGTCCTTGCCGCTCCCCGACGATCCCACTTCCCCACGACATGTCCGACCGTCCCACGCACAGACCACCCTACTGGGGAACCCTGACTCCCCCCCACGATCCCCCATTACGCTCGAAGTCGGCTCCCCCTTCGCACCCGCCCAACCATATTCCCCGAAGCCACTTCCAGCACGACTCCACATCGCCACTCCCGACCGTGTCAGATCTGCACCACCATCGGCACTCCGAAGGGCAAGCGCTCACAGCAGGCCCGCGCGCAAGGTACGGATCATGGACGGCGGCGACGGGTTCGACAACCCAATGGACCGCAGGCGCTTCAACCCCGAGAGTCAAGAGGGCAGCTCGGGTTCAAGCTCTGACACGACAAAAAACTGAGCAGGACTTCCCCCGCTGGGGGGCAACTGGCCCAGCGGGGGGTCCCACCACAACCCTGCCAGAAGACCGAGCACCTAGCCCGCTCAGAGTGGCTATGCGTAACTACCAGCTCGACGGAGCAACCGCTGAGCCCCAGCAGATGTGTTGTGCGACCCATGCGGTGCCAGACACTCAGCGACAGGCCCAGTCGCCTTTACAGCCATAGGCCCCACTCGGGAGGCCGCCGACCGCCCCAGCGGTGTTAGCTCGTGGGTTATCACGCCGCCTGACGCCAACGGCCGCGCAACCTGGCACTCCACAACCAGCGACTGCGACACAAAAAAGCAAAACCAATAAACAGATTAGCTTCAACACCATCTGCGAGCGGGTAATCTACTCAGCCGCCACGCCTTGGGACCAGCACTGCGACCATGGCAGCGCGCAGGCACTAGCAACCACGACTGCACCAACCGTCGGACCGAGGACCATCCCCTCGGCCGACAACCGCTGTGCACCAACCACACCACCCAGGCGGCCTGCGAGGCCAGACGGGGCTAGCCCCCATCGACCCGACCGACCCGCTCCCAAGAGACGCACCCAGCAGAAGGCAAACCTTGCGACCAGCCACTTTGGCCCAAAGGCGCGGCATCAACTTTCTCATGAAGTGCCTAACGAAGAGCCCCACCAAGAGGCCAGCCGACGTCAGCAGCAGCAAGGACTGCAGCTGCCGCAGCAGCAAGGACTGCAACGACCTGAGGAGCAGCACCAAGACTCACTCAACAGGCCACCACCGGCTGGACCTCGGAGACTCCCCGAGGCCGGCCTCTCTGCATCGCCACTCTCCCCCTAGAGAGAACCACAGGACCTCCAACGGCCCACCAGAGGCCAACCCAGACAACGCCTCGGGTCCGACAGCTACGCCACTGCAGATGCCCTGGATGCGCAGCCAAGCGGCGCAGACGGCCAGAGGAGCCGACGCATCACCAACCATCCCTGAGGCAGCCAATAGCATAGATCCACGAGAGATCAACGACTTCGAAGCCACATACCTAGACGCCAAGCATACCGATAGGGGACGCGCCATGCAACCCTTCCGCTCTCGTACCACTGCTATCCCCCTCCCCCCAACATCGACGCGACTGTTCGACGCCCAAGCACAGAAACACACTGCTGACCAGAACCTACACCGAGCAAGAGGGAAGGCCACTCAACCATTCAGAGCCGCAAACTTCAAGCCCCCAGCACCGCCCAACCAGCCAACGACATCACCCGACATGCCACCCCCGATGCCAGAGCAGCGCAGCGTACAATTCGACGAACGACCAACCATCCGACAAACGATACAGCAATCACCATTTCCCCACATCACTTTTGACCTTTGCGACGAGTCCCTCAACGAGACAGCCGACTACATGCTCCGTCACCACCCACAACGACCACTCCAGGAAGGAGCAAAGATCCATCTCTACACGGACGGCTCCAAAAACCCGAAGAAGCCGAGCGACGACGCCTGGTCCGTTGTGATCGTCGGTGACGACAACCGCGGTTTCAGCTTCCAGGGGGCCATCATGGGGAAGCACAAGAGCGGCACCGACATCGACCTCGAGGACAACGTCGAGCACGATACCACCTCTACGACCGTCGAGATCACAGCCCTGATATGGGCCTTCGCCTGGGTGATACACTACAACCCCCTCTACATCACCACGATATCCACGGACTCGCTCGGCGCTCTGCAGCTCGCGAAGAGGCTAGCCTTCACCGACCACGACCCTAAGCTCGTCAGGACACTCTGCATTCTCTACGACATGGTCAGCAACAAGGTCGACCTGCAGCACGTCCACGCCCGCGACTACAACCCGTGGAACGAGGTTGCCGACGCCGCCGCCAACCACGGACGCCTGCAAGAAGTTATACCTCCACAGCCAGAGTGGGCAGACTGGGGGTTCCTCATCGACGCGGACCCCAACACAAAGGAGGCATACCCCGTATTCGGCCACGGCAATCTCACAGCTAACAGGGTCGAGACGACCGCCGAGGCCCGACACTTTCACAACCCCTCCGAGTCCAGCGACAAGAAGATTCTTGTAGAAATAAACATCGCCACCTTCAACATCCAGTCGGCGAGAGAGCCAAGGGAAGGATCGAAGCGTCGAAAAGAGAAGACCAACAAGCTTAAGACCACGATGGCCTGCCTGTGCGACGAGGACCTCCATATCATTGGTATCCAGGAGGCAAGGACAACCTGGGGCGTCCGCGACGCAGGACAAGACGACGACGCCAGATGCGCCAACGCCAACTGCTACCACATCATTTCCACCGGCCACAAAGGGTTCAACTACGGCTGCGAGCTTCATGTTCTACTCAGCAAACCCTGCGGCAAGTGCGGCAAAAAGGAGCTCTTCTTCAAACCTGAGCAGTTCACAGTCATCGTCAAGGACCCCAGGCTCCTTATCGTTCGCGTTGCCGCCCCTGGCTTCAAACGCGTGCTTGCCGTCGCCCATGCCCCGCACTCGAAGGCCCTTGCGACCGAGAGGGATAGCTACTGGAAGAAGCTCGCGGGGAACACCGAAAGCACAAAGTCAGCATCATCTTCTTCGACGCAAATGCCAGGACAGGCAACACCACCAGCGCGGCCATCGGCGACAAGGGCTTCAAGCACAACGAGGACCCAAACGGACACCGTCTACATGAGCTGCTCCTGACCAACCACCTGGCGGCCACCAACACCTTCGTCAGCCATGGACCAGAGCATCATACCTGGCACTCGGGCAAGGACCCTCATCGCATCGACTACGCCATCATCCCCATGGGCTACATCGACTCCATCGAGGAGTGCGCCGTACTCTACGGCATAGACAGCGGCCAAGACCCAGAGACCAAGGACGACCACTACCCAGTCAAGCTGCAGCTTGCCTACCAGATAATCTCGTCCGTCACCAAAGGAATCCCGAAGTTAGACGAGAGCAAGCTAGCCGACGAAGGGTGCCGCAAAAAATATCAGCCAAAAACCCGACGAGGTCAAACACCCGCCCTGGGGCACCAACCTCAACGAGCACCTCGCCATAGCCACTGAGAAGATCACGGAGGCCGCGCCCGAGTGCTTCTGCTCCAACAGCCACGTCCCGCGCAAGCCCTACCTCACCAGGCGGTCCCTTGCTCTCCTGCGAGTTCGCCGCTCGATACTCAAGACGACACGGATCGCCAAGACAAGCGGGATTGCCAGCCACCCCGGCGACAAGATGCTACGCTACACGGCAAAGATCATCGCGAGGGAAGCCCTCCTGCCCGGCCCCGCAGATGCGAGTGCCCTGGCCGATCTCAGCGACTACGTCAAACCTGTGGTGGCCTCTATCATACTCAGCACTCCCAGCCAAGCTTCCCACGTCGTGGAACCCGACGATGCCAACACCGCGCACCGCGCCCAGCACTACTTTGACGCCCTTCTCAAATTCCCCAGGACGTCCAAGTCAATCCTGCAGAAGTGGATAACGACAGACCGCGACGACTTCCTTGAGAGAACCGCCGACGAGATGGGCGCAGCGATCGACGACCACGCCCCCCGTTTAGAGGCCCTGTACGCCAAGCGACTACTGGCCTTCGGAGGACGAAAATCAAAGAACCCGCCGACGCCCATCATCCGCACCAGCGACGACGGGGGGGCCCTCACGAAGAAGAGCGAGATCGCCGACCACGCCCTAGCCTTCTACGGCAAAGTTGAGCAAGCTATTGCCACGGATGCAGACGGGGTAGCAGCCGACTACAACAAGAGGACCCGCCACGCAGGACCAGGACCTAATCTCCAAAACATAATGCCCAAGCACCAGCTGACCAGCAAGCTCGCCGCCGCCAAGCGAGGCCGCCGAGGAGGCCTGACCAGCTCACCGACGACATGTCCAGAAACAGTCCTGAAGGGATGGCTCGCCTGCCCCACACTGTCCTAATCAAGACCCACTTCGAGAGCACCGAGCCCATCGCCGCCAAGGGCGGGTACCCCACGTATTTCCACAAAGGACAGGGGGCCATGGAGCTCCAGAAACCACACCGCGGCATCCTGCTCAACAACACCATCGGCAAGATGCACAGCACGTTCCTCCGCTCCCGCGTGAAGGGCCTGCTACCTGAGCTACTAGAGGCAACCCAGTGCGGCGCCCGTCCCAAGACGGCCACGGATTTCATCACTCACACCAGCCTCGCCTTCATCAGCGACTGCCAGAGGATATCAAGATCATGCAGCATCACCTTCCTGGACCTCAAGGGGGCCTTCCACTCCGTCACCAGGGAATTCTGCATGCAATTGCCGACCACCGCTGACGAGCTCAACGAACTCATCGAACGGATCGACATTCCCGACTTCATCAGACCAGCTCTAAAGGAACGACTCCAGCAACCAGCCTACAACAACCAGCACATCGACGACGAGCACCTCTGCCACATGATCGCTGATCACCACACCTCCAACTGGATGACAGCCAAGAGCGCAAGGCACTACCAGCTACCTCGGACCAGCACCCGACCTGGAGTGCCATACTCGGATGTCGCCTTCAACGTACACTTCGCCATCATGCTGAGGGCAATCGACCAGGCAGTTCGAGAAGAAGAGGCCCACGGCCAGCAGACAGGCGGACACGAGATAGAGGCCTGCAGTGAGCCTCTTTTTTTCACCAACCCCTCACGAAGGAAGCGCGCTCAGAAACATGTCCTTCGTCGACGACCTCACCGACTACAACTCGACCGCCAACGCCAACGAACTGATCAACGCGATAGCTCTGGCAGCCGCAAGGCCCTGCACAGCAGCATTCCAGCATGGCCCGAAGCCACGCCCAGAAAAGACCGAAGCCATCCTCATGCACTACGGCGCGGGGTCCAAGAAGGAGAAACAACGGATAGCCAAGGAGGGCATCACATACCTAGAATTGGACGGACTTGCTATCAAGGTGCAGCTGGTAACGCAACAGAAAGCCCTCGGTGCCATCATCTCGGCGGGCGGGGTCATGGGGTCAGAGATCTGCCTAAGGGTCAACCGTGCGCCTGGTGCAGCCCGGCCTCTAGAGAAGCAGATCCTCCGCCGCAAGAAGCTCTCGAAGAAAGCCAAGGGCAAGTACGTCCACTCTTTTTCGACATCCTCGCTTACCTACAACCGCCATGTCTGGGGCGACCTGGCCATGAAGGACCTGATGCATATATCCGCCAAGTACATGGGCCCATACCGAGCCGCAGCTTCACTACCCAAGACCAACTCACCCGACCAGCACATCTCCGAGGCCGATGCAATCGCCAAGACAGGAGCACCCGACTTCATCACCCACCAGTCGATCGCGCGGCTACGATACTTGCCTAGACCCCTGAGTAATGCTCCAGCAGTCCTACTTCAGCTACTCGACGGCCAGCGCCAACGAAAGGGCGCATGGGGCAGCCAGCTCAAGAAAGACTTCGACTTCCTACGTACGCACTTACCAAAAGAGAGGTGGCCCAGCCAAAACCAGCACGACCGCGACAGCCGAAGCTATTCACCAAAGCGGTCAAGGCAGCTTCGAATGCATACATCCTCCACACTCGCGATCAAGCTCCAGGCGCCAAGCTCCAGAAGGACATCTTGATGACCTCGGCAGACCGCGCAACTGAAGTGCTGGACCTCTGCGACGACACCAACAACGAGAAGTGCGTCTGCTACGCCTGCGGCCGAGTCGAATCCAGGCAAGGCATGCTAATCCATATGGGCAGGGACCATCCAGACCGCGAAGACCCTCGCTTTTGGGCGACAGGTACCGCGTGCCGCTGCTGCCAGACCGAGCACCACCCTCTTCCGAGGCGCATCAAGCACTTATCGGCGGCTCACCGCTGCCGCAAAACCTGGCGCGCCTGGCGCGCACAGGCGATGGAGCCTCTGACGGGGCAACACATAGCAGAGAACCTCGCCGCCATCGCCGAGGCCAAAAACGCCAACAAGAAGCAAGGGCGACGCCCCACCTTCAGCGACAAGCCAGCCTACCCGTGCGACGTCACGCCGCTGCCTCTCATCGGGACGCCGCCCGTCCTACCCAAAGTATTCGCCAGACTCGAGCCATCGCCAAGCAGACCACCCGCGAGCTCGCCTGCATAACCAGCCGAGCGCCAAGAGATCGTCTTCATCACCGACCGCCCTCGACAGGCTGCCGACCTCCAACAGATCATGGCCAGCAACGGAATCACGAGCATCAGCGGACTGGACTACGCGCAGATCGCAATCCCCAGCGATGGCCAGACCTCAGAACTTCCGACAATACTTCGGCGAACACAGCGCAGGATCCTACATGGCGAGGTAGCGGCCATCTACGTAGAGTTCCCACGACGAACCTGGTACCTACACGATACATCCGACGTTCTAGGCAGCAGAGCAAGCAAGCGGCGCACCCCAGAGGCGCCCTGGGGAACGCCTCAAGTCTCCGAGACCATCGCCGACGAGATATTCGCCGCCAACAACGTCACACGAGAGGCCTTGCGTACGATCTTCATGGCGACTACTACCAACGTGCCACTCGTAGCAGCCATCTCGGCCGAGTCGATTATCAGAAAGACCGCAAAATATCGGTACATCGCCAACCTGACGACCGTCTACGAGACCCCGACGAAACACTGCGACCTCGGCGCCATACAGATCCTCGACAACGGCACCCGCGACGACCTCCGCAACATAAGGCATGCGGCAAACGAAGAGGAGATCGACTTCACCATCGCCGGCCTGCTCGGCGGCAACATCGTGGCTAGATGGGGCCTCAGAACCGCAGCCGCTGCGCCCGCCAGCCAGAACCTGAACACCAACGACGCTTACTACATAGAACGAGAAGACGAAGTGCCGCCTCATGCCGAAGACGAACGCCACGAATAGTGCCACCTACGACAAGTTCAAAGGCGTCAGGACGCAAGTCCAGAGGAATCCCCGAGTGCGTGGGAACACCTCAGACAGCGTCGCCAAGTTTTGCAAGAGGCGTTAGGACGCAAGTCCAGGGGAAGCCCCGAATGCGAGGGAACACCCCAGGCACAAGTCGCCACGTTTTGTAGTATTGCTGAAGGCAGCGGTGGCACGTGCAAGAGGTCAGCGGACACATGCGAGCCGCATCACACACCCGCTCCACTCTTGCCAAGCACCACCGACCAACTACACCCCACAACCCAAGGAACGACCTACCATACCACGCCAAAAGTCAACGCTGCCCTGGTGAGGCAAGGGTCAAACTTCGAGGCGGGCTCGAAGGGTGGGGGGGGCAGGACGAGCACCGCCCGCGCCTACCAGGGGGGACGGTGAGGGGCAGGGGGGGGGGGGGGGGAGGACGGCCACTACCCGCGCCCCCGCGGTCCGCCCTAGCTCGCCACCCCCACCATCCCCATGGCGAAGGAGGAGCTTACCCGATCGCCCAAGCGGCGAAGCAGAAGGCAGCCGAGACATCCCCCACCGACGACAGCAGCAAGCACCAGGCCTGGGGTTCGCCCCCACCGAGGGCACCGTGACCCCTAGCCATAGCGGGACGAGGTGGGGCCGCCACGAACCCCACTTGAAGTCGGTGCATGGAGGCCTCTCAAGTGCGCCCATCACCCACACCACAACCCCAGCAACAATACGCTCTCCCCACGACCTTACCATAGAACTCAAGACGACCATCCACAACCAATGGGACTCACCACCGACCGATCACCCACCCCGCAACCACCACCCATCCAACTACCATCACCACCTCGATACCACCAGCCCACTGAAAGGAGGACAGGAGAAGGGTCCTCAGCAGCGCGGCGCGACTCAACCATGACAGCGCCCGCTGAAAGGAGGACAGGAGCAGGGTCCTCAACAGCGAGGCTCGAAGAGCACGCCCTGGAGACACCGAAAAGGAGGACAGGAGCAGGGTCCCCAGAACCAATCTCCAGCAGGCACGCCCGCAGAAAGGAGGACAGGAGCAGGGCCCTCAGCTGCGAGGCAGTACAAAGACAAGCAACCCCAGAACCTCCACCCCATCAACAACAACCACCACCTCGACTTGACCAGCCCGCTGAAAGGAGGACAGGAGCAGGGTCCTCAGCAGCGAGGCGTGAGCCTACCACAACCTCAGCTGAAAGGAAGACAGGAGCAGGGTATTCAACAGCTCTGAAGATTGTGAATGCAAGGGGGCCGCCCACAAGGAGGACAGGAGCAGGGTCCTCAGAAGCGGTGCTCAGCATGCACGAACGTCTTAGAGGAGCTCACGCCAAGAGAAGGAGGCGGCGCACCGTGCGCCGCGGCGAGGCCGTCCCCAGCCCTCGGGCCGAAGGGGGGCACGGCCCGCCCCCCGTGTAACATACGGGGGCCGCCAGCTCAGCCGAGCTGCCAAGCGGCAAGAAGAAGGTCGGGCGCCCCTCAGCTCGCGAGCAAAGGAGGGGCGTCCGTCGCAAAGAAGTTCGAGGAGGACGAGTTCGGGGCCCACCTGAGGCCGTCGGACTGACGGGCTACGCCGCGGCGGCCGCCGCCGCGGCACAGAGCCCTCACTGAAAGGGTTCGCTGAAAGGAGGAGGAGGAGGAGGAGGAGGGGAGGAGGAGGGAGGAGGAGGGAGGAGGAGGGAGGAGGGAGGGGAGGAGGAGGGAGGGAGGAGAGGAGGAGGAGGAGGAGGAGGAGGAAGAGGAGGAGGAGGAGGAGGAGGAGGGAGGAGGAGGAGGAGGAGGAGGAGGAGGAGGAGGAGGAGGAGGAGGAGGAGGACGGCGACGACGGCGACGGCGACGACGACGACAGGGTCACCGCAGCGGGCTCTCGGGCCGCCCCTGGCACGCAGAGCGCGCGGACTCGCCCTCGGGGGCCTATCGCATCTGTGATGTGGGCATGCCAAGAGTGACCTCTGCGCAGCGCAAAAAGGGTCGCTGGGCGGCCAAATCCGGGCACGCAAGCCGCGGCTGCCGCTTCGCGTTCCACGATCGCAGAGGTCAATCTTGGGCGCAGTCGAGCCCATTCGGATCGCCAACAGGCTTTCCCGACGGCTGTTGAACTTCCGCCTCAGCAGGAGCGGATGCGGCGGCGGGCACCAATCCCTTTGGCACGACCCTGGACTGGCCCAACGCATGCCAGAAGTGTGCAGCACATGCAGCGTCGCCAGCTACGACCGGCTGTCTGGGCGCAGGTGGCGTCGCGGATTATATCTTCCAACCCCTCTTCCCGGTCGCGGAGGGGCAATGGCAGAACCTTGTCACTGAATACGAGGGGCACCGACATGGGGCGACAAAGGGGGGACTGGCTCGGGGGGGGGGGGCATCGACTTGGAACACGCGATGCACCGCCGAGTAGATCGGCGACAGGCCCCCGATAGCGAATCTCCGCATGCGACCGCGATTGGGAAGCCTGTGCTCGTCTTCCTCTGGCAACCTGGGATCTGCCTGGGCCACTCCGTCTGGACACAGGTTCCAAAAAGGAACTGTGCTGCGACTTCATTTCTTTGCCTCTCTCTTCTCTCTCTCTCATCTCTCTCTCTCTCTCTCTCTCTCTCCCCCCTTCTCCTCCCATCACCCTCTGCCTCCTGCTATCTCGAGGGGTCCCTGGACGTCTCGGGGAATCAGCAGGGGTTCCCAGGAGTCTCCAGAAGTCTCGAGGGGTCTCTGGAGGCCCCGAGGAGAATCAAAGACACCTGGAAGCCTCGAGGATGATGACAGGAGGCACCCCGAGGAGAATCAAAGAGGAGGAGGAGGAGGAGGAGGAGGAGGAGGAGGAGATGGAGGAGATGGAGAAGGAGGAGGAGGAGATGGAGGAGGAGGAGGAGGAGGAGGAGGAGGAGGAGGAGGAGGCAGCAGAAGAAAGAGAGGAGGAGGCAGGAAGAGGCAGGAGGGCGACGGACCCAGACCCCCTCGAGTCGTGAGCCCATCGCGGCAGGATATTTTTGGGGGAGCGCGATCCGCCGCCGCTGGCCTCGCAGCTCTCTCGGCGCGGGGGTCGGAGACCGTGGGGGGCCCCTCCCCCCCTTCTTGAAGGGGAACTGGGACACACAAGTAAATACACACAAATAAAAATACCCCCCATATTTTCCAATATTTTCTGGGTTTTTGCCTTCCCCCCCACTTCCCATATTTTCCCATATTTTCTGCGAATCGACGATTAATTGTGTCTGTGTGTTTTTTCCCCTCCTGACTTCTGGAAAACGAAGCCAACCTCTATCGGGCGTTGGCAGAACCGGGTTCAGTGGAACCTGGTTTAGTGATGTGCACCAGGGGGCGCCCCCCTTTCCCCGTTCCGCCAACCGGAACTGCCGTCACCCGGAAAAAACACATCAGCTACGGCAAACCTGGTTTGGTGAATCTGGCCAATTGGAGGGGCCCCGGGGCCCTACCACCAACCGGGTCCCCTTGCCCGGGGTCCTGGCCATACCCGACTCTGAGCGGGGGGGGTCCGAAATAGGAAGTTCGGCCTCGCCGCTCCGCCCGCCGATCAGATGCTGAGCACCCCGTGGATCGTCGCGGCTCAGGGGTGTAGGGGGGGGGGTCGGGGAACGGTTCATTATCGCGGGCGTGCGGTCATGTTTGTGCGGCGTCTCTTCTTCGAGCATGGGACTCGGCCTCAGTCATCAGCGTCGCCTGGTTCTAATCGCAACTCGTAGTTCGTCGGGCAGGACAGGCCCCTGCACACCGTCTTCGTCTTGCCGGCGTTCATCCTGAAGTAGTACTCGTGAGTGTCCTTCGTGATCTCCGCCGCGGTCCACCCTCTTGCGCGAAGGCGCTCAGACAGATAGTTGAGCCGCTTCGCGTTCGATCCAAAGTCAGCTTTGCGGCCTGTCGGATCGGAAGAAGGGTGGGACCATAGAGCCATCGTGCTGGCATAAGGAACGTCAAATGCGGAACCAAGGGGCAACCCTGGTCAAGGCGAGCCGCGGCCATGAATAGGTTCCCTGGGCCAGATCGAAGGGGCCCGAAAATCAGAGTCTCTCCTGAGCCCGAAGTGGTCCTTATTTCAACGTCTTCACTGTAGCAAAGAAAGGAGGGTTAACGAATCAGCTGCATGCTGTCAATTTCTTGGCGCCTGCTGGCGCCGGAGGCGGCCACATATCGGGAAAAGGGCTGGCGCAGGAACCGGAGCCAGTTGCAAAAGCGGGCACCGCCACAACCCAGGGCTCCGCACTTCGCGCTCCGCGAAGCGCGACGCGCGAACAACTTCGCGGTCTCGCGCCGCCTCCCAAGGGAGAAGAGGAGGATGAGGAGGCAGAACCGAACCGCGAACGGGGAAGCGCGAAGGGCGAACAATTCCGCGCCCTCGAGGGCGCCCTCGCGTGACCACTTCGTCCGCCCCGAGCCTATCCTGCCGCTCGACCGCACCTGGACGGAGCCGTCCGGGCTCACGGCGAACTCGGTGTCGTCGACCCTGCCTTTCTTCAGGCTCTCGAACTGCGCATACAAATCCGCCGCCGCGCCAACAACACGTAATGGAGTGATGAGGGGCAGCTTTAGGAGGGAACGGGCTCAGGGAGGAGAAACATCGAGTTGGAATCGGCGATACATCGACGATAGTCGGGCAGTGGGCCTCCGATAGCGACACTAGACTTTCCTGGGCGGGGTGGGCTATCGGGCCTCGATCGGCGATGCATGGGCGATTGGGGGTCGATGCATCCCCCCGTGAGCGTATCGTTCCTTAACGTTGCCCCCGAAGTGTCCTCAGGTCTCTGAAAACCTTCAGCACTTCACATGATTACGACCATCCAAAACAGCACATACATGCTGAATCGGGTGTCAAGATTCTCACGGACACTCCCACATCCTCGAAGAGTGCACCCGAAGATGAAATCGTCCCAAAGAGGCACTGGCCCCAGATTTCGGGCCCTCCTGCGCGACTCTTGTCGCTCTCTGTTTTCGCTGCGTGGCGTCTCGAGAGACCCGGTACCTGCGCTCGGGAATGCACATACCCAGTGCGCTCCAAGCTGGCCATCCTCCCAAAAGCCCTGACACCCGACCTCTGGCGCTCCTGGGCGACTCTGGGCGATGATTTTTCCGAGGCGAGACTTCTCGAGAGAGCCGGGGACCGTGCACGGGAGTCAAAACCCGCAGCGCTCTTGGAGCTGGTCACTCTGGCTCACCCTGGGAGTCGGCCCTGGGCGGCCCTGGGAGTCGGCCCCGTGATGTTCAAGTTGCGGGGCGGTGTGTTGTGCGTGCTGCTTCCGTCACAACTGCACCAGAGAAAAAAAACAATCAGTGGACGGTTTGAAATTTGGTGATGTGGATATTGAGATCGATTGTGAGATCGATACTGTCAGATCGATCATGGGATCGGTTGTAAGGACGATGGTAAGGTCGATCGTGAAACCGATAGTGAAATCGATTCAGTGAGATCGATAGTGAGATCGATCGTGAGATCGATCGTGCGATCTGTAGTGAGAACGATTGTGAGATCGATCGTAAGATCAGTTGTGAGATCGATCGTGGGACCGATCGAGAAGTGGGTACTGAGGTCGATGGTGAGACCGATCGATAAGGAGATCGACCAAGAACCCGGGAACCCAAAAACCCGGGAACCCCGCCGCCGCCCGCCAAAATCGGCCAGGAACCAGCATCCGGGAACCCATGAACCCGGGAACCCGGCCGCCTGCGGAAATCGACCCGGCACTTTCGCCAATCTTTCAGATCGTGCAGGCACTGATTGGGGAATGCAGTGGGGGCTCGACCACAAGAAACATTCCACAAGAAACCCGACCCTGAGATCCCAGGACGTCCATGGATTTTTGGTGTGGGAACATCGCAAAACCATCGAAACCCAGGAAGCCCAGGGCATCCTGGAGGCAAGCAAGGTGTTTCTTGGCATGGGCCCTCATTGTACAGTCGGGGCGTTGACCTAAGGAACCCTAAATAAGGGACGGGGGCCCTTTCTCCCATAAATTGAACTTCGATTTCCCATGGGAAACCTCAGGAAAACAGAAGGCAAACTGTAGAACAATCAAGGCACACCGAGCCCCTGCCCAACGAAAAGAATTCCTTCTTCAGGGCCCCGACGGTAGACGTATGGCCTTCTCGGAAAACCCCAGACGGCCCAAGGCCAACACTCGATGCTCTAGACTGATGGGCGTCTCTCGAGCCATCTGGCCGGGGCGCCCAAGACCCCCTCGGCTGGGGCCTCACTGACTCTAATCGACGCTCGATCGGCGCTTTTTCTCATCGGTTGTCCGACCCTAATCTGCGCGACTACATCTCAAAAGAAGAACTGTGAGGGTACACAGGGCTCCCCATGATTTGCTACCGTTAGGTCGGGCATGTCCCCCTACAGGCGGATTGTGGACGAACAGTAAACAATAGTCCAAAAAACATCAAACATGCGAACACAAATCGTCCCCAGGTTATTTATGGTCTATTCTTGAATATTCCTCGGACATGCCCGACTTAATGCTTCAGAACAAACACGGGCCCGAGAGCCCCCCCGACGGCCCAAGAGCGCCCCAAAGCAGCCCCGAGCGGGCCCCAGGACGGCCCAGGAGGGCCGCAGTAGGCGCCTCAGCCTCGAGGCGAGCCCCAGGAACGCCCAAGCGGACCTCAACGAATATCCAGGAGACCTCTGAGACAACTCGTGACCCCAAACACCACGTGGCCGACGAAAAGAAGCTCAGAAACCAAGCGAAGGCTGGCAAACCCGTGGCTGCTGAAACGGAACTCCGGGAACTTGTCGTTTTTTCTCTTTCGGGAGGCAGCCCGTTTACTATTTAGCACGCTGAACTTTACAGTGCTGGCGCGGCCGCAAGAAACCCTCGCAAGAAACCCAACCCTGAGAACCCGTACGCGAGGTGCACCTGACGGGGAACCCGGAGCACCCTGAACGCAGCATCTCCGTCAACGGCTGCGGGAAGCCGCCGCGCAGCGCGAGGAGCGAAGAAACCCAGGATACCCTGACGAGAAGCATCTGGTTTCTTGATGCGCGCCCCCACTGTTTTGGACGCCCGAAATTGGCACGGAAACCATGGGCACAATGCCCAACAGCAAATGCTGTCCCGAACCAACAGCGGCCGCTGTTGTGCACAGGCCGCGGCGACACCGACAGCGAGTCCTGTCCAGAATGAACGGGAACCGCTGCTGGGCACTGTGCCCATCCTTGCCCTACCCCTTTCGTTCGCGCCGATCCCAGCAGCCGCGGATTGGCCGGCCCTCGCCCCGCTTCCGAGCGACGGCACGGCGACCTCGCGCGGTGACCTGCGCGGGCCGCCAGCGCGGCACGCGGCACGGGGAAGTGGGGCCCTGGCGCGCGAAAGTCCGCGTGGCCAGCCCCCTGTTCTGTTTCTCTTCGCTCACAGGGCTGAACCTACACGGTCCGTCTTCGTTTGTTTTCGTTGTCCCTCGTTTTCGCTTCGCTTTGGTTTTGTTCTCGTTGTCCCTCAATCTGTCTCGAACCCGCCCATAACGCCAAACGGAATCGAAACGCAAACGACCCACGAAATCGCCGAAACACCGTGTAGGTCCACCCCTGGTTGCTCACATGACCCCGTGCAAGTCGCTCCGACCAAGTCCCGCATTACCGAGATCCAGCCCTCATCGGCGACTTTGAAGCCGATGGTCGGCCGAAGATGCGGGGGCAGCGGCGACTCGCCGCAGGCGCCTTCGATAATTGTCTTGGGCGGTGATTACCCTGAAGCCGCCGCCGTCGACGCCATTCTGACCTGTCGAGTCCGACGAAAGGGGGACCAGCAGAGGAGTGGGGACCGAATCAGCTGCATGCCGGTGGCTTTCCTGGCGCCAAAGGCGGCTCATGTCTCGAGGGAGGCGCCCAGCATCGGGGCCCAAACATGCTGCATGCAACAATCGTCGTAGGTGCGAGGAGGGGGGGGTCAGGCTAGCCTGTAAGTAATACCCGATGCCAACACCTCGCTTGTCAACCCCACCGTCGCACCGACCACGGAGGGCGTCAAGTCCACCGTCGCACCGACCACGGAGGGCGATTGAATTGAAAAAAATGTTTCCCAAGCGGGCGAAATACGGGCCAACTTCGGACGAAGGTGCAGCCCCTACGTGCAAAATGTGTCAACCTATCTGAGCTCCTCCCCATCGTCTCTACTGCCGGACCCGAACCACACGGATATCTCGCGAAACCAACTGCAGGCAACAATCGGGCCGGGTTCCAGGGGGATATAGCAAAGGGGGGGTTTGAGAATCAGCTCACGTAGCTGATTTTCTGGGCGCCTCCCCGCGCCGGAGGCGGCTACGTATCAAGAAATGGGCCCCTCGGTCGGGGCCGAAACCAGCTGCATGCAGCAAATTTCGCAACACCCCTTTCCCAATGCCCCCCTTTCGTCCGGCCCGAGACACCTGCCGTGATTTACCCAACCTCTCCAAAGCCCCCCTTCCCTCCGACCCTGACATCTGCCGACATGATTGAAGGGGCCCCAGGACACACAAATAAATACACACAAATAAAACTATTCCCCATATTTTCCTATATTTTCTGGGTTTTTGTCTTCCCCCCCACTTCCCATATTTTCCAATATTTTCCTGGGACTCGACGATTAAGTGTGTCTGTGTTTTTTTCCTCTTGAATGATTTGTTCAATCCGCAGCCCACGAGGTCCCGACCGCTTCCCTAGGAGGCCAATGTTTGTCGTCCTGGCTCCATGGTTGATGGCCCCGAGGCCTGGCATTGGGTCGGGCGTGTCCTCCCACAGTCGGAGCGTTGACCTAAGGAACAATAAATAAGGAACGAAGGCCCTTTTTATCCCAAGGAATAACGCATAAGGATCGATACATAACACATAACGCAGAGTGAACTGTAAATAGCGCATGTAAATTCTAAGGAACGACAGAGCCCCCTTTGAAAAGTAAGTGTTCCTTACTCAAGCCGCTCACTGTACAGGCGGATGTTGGACGATGCATCTTCAACCCGAAAAATAAACCATGCTCAAACATATTCAGACATGGTCAACAAATCGTCCCAAAAGACTATGCTTGCAGCTATTTTTGGAATGGCCATCCTGTAGAGGGACATGCCCGACTTCAGCCTGGCAGCGGGCACCAGAGCCCCGCATCGGGCAAAAGCGCCCTGGATGGACACAACCATCGTGACGTCGGAGCCCTGGGGACCCAGAGGCCTCCTAGATGGGGTCGGAGTAGATGGGGTCGGCGGATCGCGCCGCATCGCCGAGACATCGGCGACGCATCGGCGATGTTCCGGCAATGCACAGGCGGTGCATCGTCGACGTGGGCGATGCACCAGCGACGCCGACGTGAAGCAGATCGGGCTCCATATTGGACCGCATCGGCGATGCATCGGCGATGCGGCGCGATCCTCCGACCCCACCTGCTCCGACCCCATCTGAGAGGCCTAGAAAAACGCCGGGATGGAAAACACCTCCGTAACGTCGGAGCTCTGGTCGGGCCGGGCGAAAGGGGGGGATAGCAAAGGGGGGTGGGTTGAGAATCAGCTCACGTGGCTGATTTTCCCGGCGCCTCCCGGCGCCGGAGGCGCCCGTGTATCGATTTGGACGCCCGAAATGGGCACGGAAACAATGGGCACAATGCCCAACAGCAAATGTTGTCCCAAACCAACAGCGGCCGCTGTTGGGCAGGCGGCCCTCTGTCCCAAATGGACACAGGCCGCGGCGGCGTGGACAGCGAGTCCTGTTCAAAATGAACAAGATTCGCTGTTCGGCATTGTACCCATTCTTTCAGTACCCATTTCGGGCGTGCAGAATCGAGGAATGGGCCCCTCGGTGGGGCGGAAACCGGCTGCACGCAGCAGATTTCGTACCCCCCCCCCCTTTCCCTATCCCCCCCGTTCGTCCGGCCCGATCTGGGGACCCGAAGCTGGCGGATGGCCAGGGATCTGCCCTCCCACAAGGGGATTTAAGGCGAGAGATAACAAAAAATACACCAGAAAAATGCCCCCAGATGGTCAACGATAGTAAAGAAATCGTCCCCGGACTATGTTGACTATTTTTGGACGTTCCTCCTGTAGAGGGGCGTGCCCGACTTAATCGCAACGTCGGAGCTCTGGGGGCCCGAGCCTGGCGGGTAGCCCGCCGGGGCCCGAATTTGTCCATATCCACCGCCTGCCGAGGCTCCGAAAACTGGCCCTCCAGGCGGTGGATATGGATAAGTTCCCGCCTCGGACGCCCTGACGTCGCCCCTGAAGGCAAGAGGAAGAACGACGAGGGCGAGGAGAAGGCAGGGCGCGGGAGGAGAGGGAGGCGGCAGGCGGGAGCGAGCGAGCGAGCGAGCGAGCGAGCGATCCGACGAGCGTCGTCTGGGAGAGGGCGAGGGGAAAAAAAGGGCCCGTCGAGACCGGAAAAAAAAGGGCTCGTTCGGCCCGATCTGGGGACCCGAACCTGGCGGATAGTAGGGGAACGAATAATGACATAAACATAAAAAACTCGGAGGTCCGCGCGGATTTCTCGGATCGGCGCTGGGGCCGCCACTGCTCGACGTGTCACTGCTGGGGAGTTTGTCCAGCCCCGACGATCTTAGGGGGCAAACAAACCTACCTCGCTTTTGACCACCCTCGCTTCCAAGAGATACCAAGCGATGCCAAACTACGGCCTGTACTGGTCAGGCCGCTTGACGAGGAGGCGCGTGGTATGACTTGGTTTTGCCTGGAAGCGAAAGCGGGGTAGGTAATTCACGCTCTGAGATCTGGGGGCCCGCACCTGGCGGGTAGCCCGCGATCTCCTCCCGCAGCTGCGCCAGCGCCTCCGCGGCCGGCGTGCCTGGCGGCGGGCTCCAGGGCCGCAGCGCGGTGGAGCAGGCGACGTCCTCGGGGTCGAAGGTGGTGGAGAAGCAGTTGGGGCCCGGGCCGCACTCCTTGAGCGCGGGGCCGTCCGTGGTGTCGAACCTGGGGGGCAGGGAGGAGGAGGAGGGGGCGAGCGAGCCGCAGGAGAGGCGTCCGAGTGACGAACACCCACCGCGTGTGAGACCTGAGAGCCACAGGGGTGGCGGAGGGCGGAAGCCTGGGAGAGGGTGGGGCGCCTCAGGAAAACCACACCCAAGAAAACCTCCCAGGCCCAAGCCCAAAAGAAACACTAGGGGGCAGGGTTCGGGCCAGAACGCACCGCTCCTGCCCCCCGCTGGCGGGGCTCCAGGCCACGGGTGATGCGGTCGATCGCCGTGAGCTGGTTCGCCCTAGTCTTTGGATTCTCCGAGAAACCTTGGCACTGCGCCCGCAGCTTGCGGGCGGACCTGAAGGACTCGGACCCGTTGAAATTGCCACCGCACTTGCGGCAGCAATACACGGAATTGACACAGAAAACATCATGCCCCAATTCAGCGAATTCAGCAAGCACAGGTTGGGGTACGTGGGCCGAGCCGCTGGCAGCCGACAACTGCCCCAGCGGCTGAGGAGGGACCGCGGGAACCGAGGAGGCCTCCAAAGGCCGAGACGTGGACCCCAACATCCTATCGGCCGCCTCGATGGCCGCCGTGACCCTACAATCCGAGACACTAAGCCACGCCTCAGAACTCCGCAAGAAGAAGTCCTCGGCCAGGCTCTGGACAAGGGGCGAGGGAGCACATACACGATCAGCTCCCGAACGAAGAGTCTGGAGGGTACTCGCACACCGAGCGACGCGATTGCACCTTCGACACCGATACTCTGACGTCCTCTGGCAGAAGAGCAACTCGTGGTCCTGGGGCCTCTCGAAAACCACACGCTTGGGCACCTGGGCGAGCTCTGGGTCCTGCACCACGACAGGGTCAGCTCCCCACTTCCGAAACTGCACGACCTGGAAGGCCGCCCACGACACATAGTGCAGGACCTGCCTGTGTTGCTTCAGCCCAGCTGCCAGACTGTCAGCCAGTGTCCTTGACACCATATGCGAAGCGCTGCCACACTTCGCGAAGAAATCGGCCCAGGCATTGCCGACGTAGGCCTCCAGCTCGTCTGGCGTGGCCGACCCGATGATGTCCTCCAGCTTCCTGTGAGCTGGAGTCCACTGAAACCGCACTGGTGGCAGACGTGGATCGCGTGCTCTGGCAGCCGAAAAAATATCTCTCCAGACTCGGGCGTGCTTCGCTTTGCCAAACTCGAGCCTCTGGTCCCAGGACGCACCTTCTTCCACGAGCGATTTCAGATCAGAAATGAAAACCTCATGCCCAGGATGCCACTGAAGTCCCATCTTAATGGCATAGCGCTCAGCACGTCCTACTGTCTGCACGTAGTAGGGCAAAGGCCCATATACAGCTCTGGCGGGGAGCCACGTGACGGGGTCCAGCTGGCAGACCGACCACCCGCACCTACGTACTTCAGGAATGCTGGCCGAGAACCCCGAACCGTCAGTATATGACGTGGGCCCCCAAGAGCCCGAGACATCTCCCCATGCAAAAACCTCCTTGGAGACCGTGGTGTAGTGCGGTACAGGAACAGGCTCGGGAACCCCATAGATCAGGTATCTCTGGTCCCAGTCGGTGCACCCCAGCATCTGCCCAGACGCCTGAAGCATGTCACGAACCTCTTGAAGCTGTTCTGGAAACTCATAATACTCCCGGTCGGGGTCCCCTTCGAGGAGCGGCGGGCAGTCGTAAAAGATATGACCCCAACAGGAGTCGATAGCCTTGCCGCAGGCCTGACATGGCCTAATGGGCCTCCCGTGCTTCATGTCCCGACGTGGTGGGATGGGAAGGTTGTCAGCCCACAAAGCCTGCAGCGCTCCGAGGCGCCTGCGACACTTTATCTTGGCGAGCGCGTGGCGAAGCGCACGATGCCACACCTCCGCCTGCTCGGTGTAAAAATGCTGCTGCAACCTATGGTGCTGCCATCGCTGAATGCCTTGATGCAGGAATACTCGTAGGTCTGCTGGACATATACGATATAAATCAAAACTGTTTCCCAAATCGTCGACCAGGATGTGCTCTGACGACATGGTCCAGGATATGCGCCTCAAAGTAAGCCAAGTGGCCCCGAGGGGCCCACGCGCCTTGGCCCAGGAAGGTGAACTGTCGAACTTAGCACCCAGACGCACCCAAGCCTCCCGAAGTCTGCTAGGTTGCACACGTCCGTCCCAGATCCAGGAGGCGTATTTGAGCACAATATCCGTGGTGGCGTTATATATGGGGTCATAACACTCATCCCGATGAGATATGAGATACGCTGTTACCCCAACCATCGTCTTACCTGGAGCACCATTTAGGACTGCAGCACAATGTCGCAACTCGCGAAGAGCGCTGTCGCTAACTCCAGCAACTGCACCGCCATGCGCCACTGATGGAAGGGCGCCCGTGCGCCACAGGCTGGTAGCACTCCGCCCCACGGCGGACTTCAACATGCGAAAACGATGCTTGCGCTCTCGAAACTGCACCAACCTACGCTTCTCCATATGCCGAAGAACTCGAGGTCGTGTGAGCTCGTGTCCCAGATTCCTCATGTGGGCCCTGTACGGGATCTTCAAGGTTCCCAGGTGCCTCTTGAGCTGTCCCCAAATTTTTTGGTTCCCAGGGATACATCCAGACTTCGGCGGCTTCAGGACCATCCCAAGATCTCCAGCATCCGACGTAAACGCCTTGGCCGCACGGGCCAGGTTGGACACCTCCCTCAATACAGGCGACACGTACTGCAAACCCACATCGTCCATGAGCGTGCGTGGCGTGATAGAAGGTGCAATGCTGGCCGTGCGCTGGACCGCTCGGTACGTGAGGAGGTAAAGAAGGTACGTGGCGTGCGTGCAGCCCGCAAGAATACCCTGATGGGCCACCAAGGGCCTAGATACAGACCCAAAACACTTGATCCTTCTCGGCTGACGGTAGGAGCCCAGGAGCAACCACAGGAGCCTCAGCGGGTACCCGAGCTCTCTAGCTTCTCGGAGAAGTGCACTGTGACTGACCATATCGAAGCACTTGGTCATGTCCAGGAGAATGGTGCATGTGTGCTCACCTAAAAGTTCTCCTATCTCCTGGCTCAGGTTGTGGTCGAAGGCTGAATCGGTCGAAGTCTGCCCAGCCCTTGACCCCCACATATGCTCGCACCTGTGTGTCTCTTGCCACTCCGCCGAAAGCGGCCGACGTAGCTTTCCCCACAACCTGACGAAAGTATTGCTGAGGACGATCAACCTAGTGTCCCCGTCAGGCTTGGGCAGGCGAACAAGCTCGCTGTAGAGCCTGTCCGTGGGCCAGGCCAGCCAACTCTCAAACAGCATGAACATATCGGCCAGGCTCTGCAAGGCCTGGTCGGACAGCACATCGAGCGTGCGTGGCGCGATCCTCGTCTGGCCCGAGGCCGTCTTCAACGGAAAACTCCTGATGGCTCCACGCACCTGCGATGCAAGAGGAGGAGGAGGGGGAGGAGGAGGGAGGGGGGAGGAGGAGGGGGAGGGGAGGAGGAGGAGGGAGGAGGGGGAGGGAGGAGGAGGAGGGGGAGGGGGAGGAGGAGGGGGAGGAGGGGGAGGAGGAGGGGGGAGGAGGAGGATGAGGTGGAGGGGGAGGGAGGACGAGGCGCGACGCGGAATACAGATCCTGTGGTGCGGTTTTCGGGGGGGGAGCGGGAGGGGACCGTCGGCCCATCCCGCCGCCGTGCCAGGGTCGTGGACCAGGGGCCTCTCAGATGGGCTTCTCTTGGTGCATCGGAGGGAGGCTCTCGGCGGCCTCCCGGGAGCCACTCGGGGGCCTCTCTGGGGGCCACTCGGGGCCTCTTCGGCGCGTCTTGGGGGCCTCGTGGGCTCGACGGGGAGGCATTTTGGGGGCCAGATGGCGGTCTCGGCATCTTGGGGCCCCCCTTGGCGGGCAACTTCGACAATCCTGGGGCCCTCGTGGGCCGTCTGGGGGACGTCTCGTAGCGGTCTTGGGAGGCATCGTGGGCCATCGTGGGCGGTCGGAAGAAACAGGCACATACAAAACTCAACACTTGTGCACAGCAAGCATGCGGATGCTGCTCACTGGGACGCCACGAGGGGCATCTGGAGCGGTCCAGGCGTGTCCGTGGGGTCTCCGGCGTCCGCTTATTTCCTCGAGCAGCACGATGCAGCGCGGGCGAAATGTCCTTGGCCGACGTGCCGTGGCCACGAGCTAACCAGAGCTTCGGTTAGGGAGGGGGCAACCTACGCAACCGTCGGAGACAAACAAGGCAAAACGGCCATAGCTCTGGAGGGAGGCGTTAGGGGGCATGCACCCCTCATGAGCTATAACCTCGCACTCGACGGTGCGTGGATGAGGACAATCAGCGAATTCAACTGAACAGCCCCACCCTCCCGGCCGTCCTTCTCCCTGCCCACCCCTCCACCTGGGCCCTGCCCTATCTTATATATATATATACACATGTGTGTATACGTTGCTTGATATCACGTGAGTGTTCAAATCGAGTTCTACACAAAACCGCTCGGATCCTCAGGAGTCAGAGGCTCACAACTCCTCACTGGCATGCCCAGCGTTCCCTGAGGCTGGGAGGGCCGCTCCTGGCATTTGCAGCATGGCTGCGGTGTCGCCTTCTTCCTGCCAAATATGCTGTGAACGCAGCTGCCTCTGCCGCCCACTCCGCTTCCGAGTTGCCAGCGGTTCCGACTTCGCTGTGATCACCGGGCCCTCCGAGGCTCCCCTGGTGATCTCCTTGCCACGGTCGCCGCGAATGTCAGAAAAGCTCGCGATGCCCTGGCCGTGGCCATCACCTCGACGAGACCACGAGTCCATCCGAACGCTGGGCGCGCACTGCTTCGTCTTTCGCTCGTCCGACGGAACCCACTCGCCCCCGCTCCCAGTCAAGAACAGGTACGGCGGATCCGACGCTGCCCCCCCAGGGGCTGCCAAAGAGCTCTTGGGCACGGGCTGCCACTCCACGAGCGGGGACGACTCGGAGGACAGCTGGGGATCGCCGGACTTCACAAAGTTGGCCCAGCGAACCATCATCTCCGCTCGGACGGTCTCGTCCTCAGCAGTAGGGGCCGGTGCGGTGGCATTGCCCGGCAAGGAGGCGTCGGGGGGATTTCCGAAGAGAGAAAGGACCTCGGCCGAATGGAAACTATAAGTAGGGTCATCAGCAAATATCGTCGAGACAGGATCATGGCACACGTCTATCGTAACACCAGGATTGTGGCCAAACTTGTATGAGTAGACTTTCCCATCGACCTTCGATGAGACCAGAGCTGCAAGCTCCCTGCCAAAGCAGAGTCGTTGGAAATCGGCTCGGAACTGGATGTACGCCGCAACACTGGAGCCGTTGAAGAGATCGTCGGGCGAGTATAGGCTAAAGATGTCACGGGCGTCTGCCTCGTCGAACCTGTCCAACAGATAGGCCTCGAAGTCGGCCGCCTGGTCTGATTCGTTGCCCTGGCCAACAAAGCCGGCGCAAGGTGCGACATCAGAATTGTCATAGGTGTTCGAGCCGACGATCATGTCGGTGGGGTTGATCAGCCCCCTGAGGTACAGGTCTGTGGGTGAAGCAGGCACCACCGCGCGGTCCAGCGTTGGCTGAAGCCCGGCTACTTCGCCGTTCACCACCGGCCCACTCACTGAGGACCACGCCAGCATGAACTCCTCGGCGGTGAGATTTTTCAAGGATTCGACGTCCTCGACCTGTGCGGCTTCGAGGACCTGCTTCGTGATCCGGTCGCCCACTTCGGGATCAAGGGGCGCACCGTAGGGGGCCTCAGAGATGCACTGGTTGCTCTCGAGGATGGCCCTGTGGAAGAGGCCCTGTGCAAGGGGAGAAACTGACAGCAAGCACACTGACGTTGCCCCTCCCGACTGACCAGCTACTGTGACCTGTGAGGGATCGCCCCCAAAGGACGATATGCTGCGATTCAACCATTCCAATGCCCGGATCTGATCAAGGACTCCATTCAAACCACCCTTGCCATCAGGCCCCGTCACTAAGAAGCCCATTCCACCCAGACGGTAGTTCAACGTCACCACAATGATGTTTTCTGTCCCTGCCAGGCGTGCGCCATCATACAGAGGTTCAGAGCCGGCGCCCTGCTTTAACCCACCCCCGTGTATCCATACCATGACGGGTAAGGGGTCGCTGCTCGTAGAATTCGGACGCCAGATGTTCAGATACAGACAGTCTTCAGTGGTTGTGAGTGGAAGCTCAGCCTGCAGCTGGGCGCAAGCGGCTCCATAGGCCGTTGCGTCCGTGACGCCATCCACTACGTCTGCCGCAAGGGGACCCTGAAGAAGCGTACTGGGCGCGAACCGCTCCGTGACGGGGTCGGCGTACCGGATTCCGAGGAACGCATCCACTGTAACGCCGTCCACGTCCACTGCCTTACCCACGAACGTGACGTTGCCATGGTTGGGGTTGACCACTGTAGCGCGAGGTCCTGTGGATAAGTTTGTGCTCGCCTCAGCCGTGGTCCTCGACAAAGCCGCTACGAGGAAGACTAGCGGCGTGGCTAAGGATGAACGCACAAGCATGGTGTGCGATAGGTAAACCTGCGGGGGTAGCGAAGATGTGGGCATTTGAGCCTCGAGGCATCCTGAGCCACTACGGATCTGTGGCCCCGGGTGGCCTCGTGGTGCCATCATGTGGCCCGCTGAAAACTTGTTTGGAGCTGCAGGAGCCTCCAGGGCAGGCTTTGGGGCGTCGTGGAACCTTCTTGGGGCTCTCTTGGAGCTTCATTGGGGCACCCTGGAGGAGGAGGAGGAGGAGGAGGAGGAGGAGGAGGAGGAGGAGGAGGAGGAGGAGGAGGGGGAGGAGGATGAGGGGAGGCCCCCGGGGCGGGTGTCTCCACTTACCTGACTCTGGGTGCCTCCCGAGCCCGTGACCGCCACCTTCCACGCCCTCCGAGCAGCGAGGTGCCCCTGCGGCGCGGCCGCGGCGACCGCCGAGACCGCCGCTGCGGCCTCGACGGCGGCCGCCGCTGCGGCCGCGCAAGCGGCAAACGCTGCGCGGCATCTGGCGCCCGAAGGGTGCGGAAGGTGGAGGTCGAGGGCGTCCACAGTGTGTACTTGCATCTCTGCGTGTGTAGGCTCATGTACAAATATGTGCACCTCGGTACTGCGAACAAAATAAAGGTATGGATGTTTGGAAATGGCTTCTCAGGAAGCAGAGCGAAATGTGAGAGGCGGGGTGCCTTCTCAGAGGGACGCCCCCCTCTGCGCGCCGCCGATCAGTGCCCGCACAAGGATGGGTGCCACAATCCGTAGTGAGCCCGAAGTACGTCCCAACGAGGAATGCCATTGTGGGACGCCGATCGGGAAACAATCATGGGGGGCGAGCGCTTAAGCACCAGTTGCCTGCCGATGGAAAATAGTATGCGCGATACGACCAGATGATCATTCCGACGGCGACGGCGACGATGCCCACTTCAATCTGTGCCACCAACCCTCTGGTCTTTTCTAAAACCCTCTTCACTTCGGGGAGGGGTACCCTCCCCCTCCCCTCCCTGCGGTTTTGTTGGGGTTGTCGTGAGGCGTCCAAGATGACGCACCGTGGCTCCAACGCTGTGGGTCCAAGAGGGCCTCCGATGCCCCAAGAAGGCCCGCAAGATGGCGCAAGAAAACCGAAGACGGTTCAAGCCAGCTTCCGACATGCCTCCAAGCCTCAAGAGGGCCAAAAGACGATTACAAGTGCTTTCGGAGACCCCTCAGCACCCCCCAAGCGTACAACCTGCAAACACCTAAGGACAACCACAGAGGCTGTGCCGTTTTGCCTTTCCGCTTGCGATCCACTGTCCAGGCCTCAAGATGGCCTCCAGAAGGCCCCGGACGGGTGATCTAGATCGGGATTCCCTCCCCGTTTAATCGACGGCATCCAAGATGCCCTGGGAGGCCCTCCAGGACTCCCAAGAGCGCCGTCCCAAACGAACCCAAGACCGAAGAGGGCCCCACACGAGGCGCGAGGGAGCATCCAGGAGACTCTAAAATGGCTGCCAGGGTCCTTGCCCTCCTCTTCCCCCTTCTCCTCATCGTCTTCGTCAGCGTCCTCCTCATCCTCCTCTTCCTCCTCGTCGTCCTTCCTCATCGGCATCTTCGTCGTCTTCGTCCTCCTCGTCGTCTTCCTCCTCGTCCTCGTCTTTGTCCGCCCCCTCGTTCTCGTCCTCCTCCTCGTTCTCCTCCTCGTCGACCTCGTTCTCCTCCTCCTCATCCTCCGCCTCCTCGTCCTCATCCATATCCTCGTGAGATGACTTCATGGGTCCTCGTCCCCGTAGTCCTCCTCCTCGTCCTCGTCCTTGCCTTCATCGTCTTCCTCTTCCTCTTCCTCTCCATCCTCTTATTCTTCTTCGTCGTCGTCGTCATCGTCGGTGTCGTCATCGTCGGTGTCGTCGTCGTGAGCGTCGTCGTCGTCCTCCTCCTCCTCCTCCTCCTCTCGCCCCCACGCGGGCCCCGAAGATGGCCCGAAGAGGCCCTTCAAAACCACCTGCCTGCTCCCAGAGATCTCTCTGTCCACCTGGCTGCCCTCTCTCTTTCACTAGGTGGTCTCTGCGTTCCTTCTCCCGTCAGCTCTCGTGGCCAGGGCTCCGAATAAGTAAGCGCCCCTGCGTGACGCCCCCCTCGAGGCATCTCCAAACCTGAAGAACGAACAGGTATCGATACCGCTTCTTCCCGACCCTCTCAGGCCGCGATCTCACAACGACTTCAAGGATACTCCAACCGTGGCGGCGAGGGCTCTCCAGGCCGAGCATCGTTATCAAGATCTCCTCGCGCCCGCGCTCGCGCACGCTCGACCAAGAGATCGCCCCCTTCTCGGGGGAAAACAAACCTACCTCGCTTTTGACCACCCTCGCTTGCAAGAGATACCAAACGATGCCAAATTGCGGCCTGTACTGGTCAGGCCGCTTGACGAGGAGGCGCGTGGTATGGCTTGGTTTTGCCTGGAAGCGAAAGCGGGGGAGGTAATTCACGCTCTGACCTTCCCCCGCCCCCCCCCCCCCCCACTAGGGCACCTATGCATATCCAATGCCTCGGGCCTGGCGCATCCTCGGCCCAGGAACGGTGTATATGCATCCCTGGCCTAACCAGGAGGGCGTATGCATCGCTCCTGGGCCCAGGATGGGCTAGCCCCAAGGCAATGGATATGTACAGATCTCGCCCCCAAGCCCAAGAGCCTGTTCAGCTTCCGCACCTGGAGCCCCAAGTCCCCAGGCTGGCTCCCCGCGTTGCGTTTGCTGTACTTGGCGACGTCCGGGAGCGCGTTCTCGAACGCCCCCGCCGCGCGCGCCTTTCAAGCATGAGGGTCGAGGGGTGATAGACCAAGGGGGGGGGGAACAACGTGCACCTTTCGTGCTCCTTTTGGGACCAGGCCCCTTTAAGACATAACAGGTGCACCTCTCTTCCCCCCCCTCATTGATCATCCCCGCATTACTCTGCGGTGAGCGAGGGGGGGAAGGAAAAGGCCTTCTTAGAAGGCGGCGAGACGTCTCAGAAACCCTCGCGCCTTCTGGAACATGTTCTGCGTCTTGGGGAAAGGCCGGAAACACTTCTCAGAAGGCAGGGGGACCTCCGAGCCTTCTTCTGAGAAGACCTTCTCCTCCTTCCCTTCCCCCCTCCTTGATCGGCCCCCCATCACGCAACGCCCGAAAGGGAAACATGCCTTGATGCGCCGCCAGGACATGACCATATCCACTGCCGCTGTGTCGTGTCCTGAGGGCTCGGGGAGCGGCGGATGTGGACGTCTGCCCGTCCACGCGGGCAGGCAGAAGTCCACATCCACCGCTCCTCCAGATCTCAGGGCACGCTTAGAGGCCTCCTAGAGGGGGTCGAGGTAGGTGGGGTCGGAGGATCGCGCCGCAGCGCCGATACATCGCCGATGCATCGGCGATGCCTCGGCGACATCGCCGATGCATCGGCGACGCCAGCGTGGACTATATCGGGCTCCACATCGAACCGCATCGCCGATGCATCGAGGATGCCGTGCGATCCTCCGACCCCATCTAACCGGGTGCCCTATATTTTCACAGGGGGTCATCAAATTCGGGGCAGAGGGGGGATAATAAACGATTTGTGCAAGCCAGTCGTACGTGGGATGCATGACGAAGAACGAGGTCGTCGTCGTCGTCGTCGGACGAAGGCGACGACGCTTACGACGACCTAGCCCTGCCACGCATATCACAAGTAAATGAAGTTAAAGGAAAGAGAAGGGGAGGGGAGGAGAAGGGGTGGGAGAAGAGAGAGGCTCCATGACAAGTTTTGCCAAAACAATAGGATTCGGGCCATCGCGCTGTTTGTATGTAGAACCTGTTCTTTTGTGACTCTTCTCGGCATCGCGTGTAGAAACTCATGGTGGCCCGTTTTGTGCTATCAGAAAACGCCCAAGCTAAAACAATCGGGGGGGAGACTCGTGGGGAGAGAGGAGAGCGTAGTAAAACCAATAGTAATTGAAATAGTAGTAGTGCTTGGCTTGTGAAAATACTAGTCGTAGTAGTAGTAGTAGTAGTAGTAGTCGTAGTCGTAGTCGTAGTCGTAGTCGTAGTCGTAGTCGTAGTAGTAGTCGTAGTAGTAGTAGTAGTAGTCGTAGTAGTAGTAGTCGTAGTAGTAGTAGTCGTAGTAGTAGTAGTAGTAGTAGTCGTAGTAGTCGTAGTAGTTCTAGTCGTAGTCGTAGTAGTAGTAGTAGTAGTAGTAGTCGTCGTAGTAGTAGTAGTAGTAGTAGTAGTAGTAGTAGTAGAAGTAGTAGTAGTAGTAGTAGTAGTAGTAGTAGTAGTAGTAGTAGTAGTGTTAGTCATAGTAGTATTAGTTAGTTCATGGTAATAGTAGTAGTAGTAGTAGTAGTACGCGTAGTAGTAGTAGTGGTAGTAGTAGTAGTCGTAGCCGTAGTAATAGTAGTCGTTGTAGTAGTAGTAACAGTAGTAGTAGCAGTAGTAGTCGCCGTCGTAGCAATAATAGTCGTAGTCGTAGTCGTACTCGTAGTAGTAGTAGTAGTAGTAGTAGTCGTAGTAGTAGTACTAGTAGAAGTAGCACCTTCGCTAGTAGTAGTGGTAGTAGTCGTCGTAGGAATAAAGGTAGTAGCCGTAGTACTAGTAGTAGTCGTAGTGGTAGTAGTAGTAGTAGTAGTAGTAGTAGTAGTAGTAAGAGTAATAGTAGTAGTAGTAGTAGTAGTAGTAGTAGTAGTAGTAGTAGTAGTAGTAGTAGTAGTAGTGGTAGTAGTAGTAGTAGTAGTAATG